TATATATATATATATTCACGGCGGTTAGAGAAATTAAATAATTTTTCACTGGAGAAATATAAAAATAAATTCCATCGTAAAAAATTATAATCGACAAAAAAACTTCCATTTGCGATATCGATTCATCCACACTGTCTCAGGTGTAACATGCACGATGGTAAAAATAAATTCGTGTGTGGGAAGCTTACGGGGTAGGGCGATAATTCTGGGTCGTCAGAGTCAAGGAACTCGAAAACTGCTACAGCAATCTCGACCCGCAAGCTTCTTCGTTGCGACGTCTTCGACAAAAGCACGGTCTAAACATAAATCTCAGGGCTTTGTCCAAGTTTGTTTGGACGCGGTCGCACGCTTACGCAAACTCGTTAAAAAGCATTATACCCGTCGCGCGGAATGAATTTAACGGAGAGCGGGCACGAGAGAAAGCAGGAAGAAATCCCGCTCGAGCTTTAATGCGTCGCGGGAATAGCGCGATCGAAGCCGCGCGCGAGCGAGCTTTCGTGCGAACCTCTCTCGGTGATGATCGCGTCGCATGCGGCCAGATAATTTCGCATCGCGCGCTTCGCGGCTATATTATGCGATAAACGCGGGGTCCCGTCGGGAGACGAGAATCGTGATTCAATAATCCCCTCCCCTCCCACTTTATCGACGATAAAAGACAGTCTGCATGTAAATATGGCAACAGCTAACTAATGTAAATATAGCCCGTTGCGATTAATAACCGGATATGGAACATTTAGCATCAAACGTGAGTGCCCGAGATATTTAAACTCACCATTACTGACCATCGAGAGAGAGAGAGAGAGAGAGAGAGAGCGTACAACATAAGGTGTTTCACTGAACATACATAACGCGAGAAAAGCATAACAGTAATCAATTATTTGATTTTGTTAAAATAATAAATTTTCTTATAATTAATTTAAATAAGCATTACTTCGCCATGTATTAAATTCAACGCTGCAAGTTAGCCATAAATTATAAAAAGCAATCATGTTAAATATCGTTTCTTTATAAAGCAAATTGCATAGTATATAAAATTGTCCAATTATTCACGTTTAATTAGATCATTTAATATTCTTTAGATCACTTTTGCGAACTTTCACACTTCGCCACGTGCGCGTGGAATTAACTCGCCAACTTCTCGTACCTGTTAACCGCGCCAGTTCCGATTCGAAGGATAACCGCGGACATAATAGTTGCATTATCGCCGCCAACGGGCATTTCCCCGCTGGCATTTAGGGCCGAGACGATCGGACAGTTTAAACGCCCGAGCCGTGGTGGTCCGATCGATACGCGCGCGAGGCTTATCAAAGCCGCAAACTATATTCGAAGCGAGATCAAGCACGAGTTTCATTTAGCATTTCACAACCAAGCGACAAGGCAAGCTTCACGTGTCAAAGCTTTCGTGCATAATATACAGCTTCGCCATTAATGTGCGCGTTTATCATCACAAATGCAAATAAAATTAGCATGCAAACAGGATAGTTTCGCACGAATTTCGATCAAAGAAAAAAAAAAAACAATCGGAAGGCAAACTCGTTCGGTTGTTGTGATACAAAAATAAAATAAAAATTTTTACCTTTCAAAAAGAAACAAATATTTAGAGAAATAAATATTCCGTCAATTTTTGTTTGTGGCATATATTTTTTTTTTATCTCAAACGTACAATTTTCAAAATTTAATGTTGACAATATCATAAATGTACAAATTAAAAAAATAATGAATTACTGAGCCAGATATCCCATATAATATTCTCCTCTTTAAAAAATCGTATAAGAAAAATGTATAAAATTTTAATAATTATTTAAATAATGATAATTGAAATAAATATGTCATGTATATTTCTATCATAGCTTCAGGCTTCGTTCGTGTCGCAATCGTCATACATAATATGTTGCGCGTTAATGCATCCGTCTGTCATCGCTTTTGTAAATAGCGCAATTCAAAGCGACGAGAATAATCTCGATTCGAATAATTCTACAATTCGTGAACTCCTGCGATCTCTCATTAGGTCACGATATATTATCTGAAATTGACTACTAAGCATATATCATCGTTGACCAAATTTATTATAATTAGTTCAATAAATAGAATTACAATCACATCGACATTATCGCGTTGGCAATAGGAGCGATTAGCTTACGTTTATTTGAACTTGATAAACACTTTTATAGCGCGATCGCTATTATTGCGATGCAATAGATCCAAAATTCCTGGCAGCGTGGGCATATGACAGGTAAACGATTACGTGCTATAAATTGCTGTTTGCGCAGCTGTAAAAGAAGGAAACGATTTTTGAGTATCACCTTGCTCTCGCCGCGCCATAAATCATGCCCTTATTCCGCACGTGGACGCGTATAAATCTCGTTATAAATAACTGTAAACTATCGTGCACGGCCACGATGTAATTCCGCGGAGCGCAGGGTGCACCATCGCTCGCTGAAATCGTTTGTCGGATCTGCTTTATTAATGGATCCTCTTGATCGCGATCGACAAGGCTACGGCACACTTGTCGACTTGGGAGAGATTAATTGCACTTTGTTGCATGCGAGTGCAGGCTAGCCACCCCCGCGCGAGTCCGGTACTTTACTCGGCTTTGAAAAATCTCATGATTGACATCATATGGCGATCCGTTAAAACCATAACATGCGATAAAATAAAAATAAGGCAATCTTGATTATTTGTCACTTGCTTCGAAAAAATTCTTAACATGTATATTATTAATTTGCTATTAATATATAAAGCTGAGATTACTTGCTAATATATAATATACTAGGAGAAATTTTGCATACTAATATTCATTACAAAAATATTAATATTTTACTGCAACAGTTGTCGTATCGGAAGCAACAATTCAATTACATGCTCACTTATTCTCATTCAAATTTATTGAATTGCCGATTATTGTTAATGCGATTATAAATTAAGGCGATATTAACAGGCACATGCATAATCCTCCGTTGTGATAACCGATTAATGAAATTTCGCCTTTGTTAAAGTCCGCCTCGGTAATTCCCTTACTTACAACTTGGGCAATCTCGTTCTAAGCTTTAAGATCGCTACTTAAGGCTATGTAAACGCGCGGCCACCTTGGATTCGACGCGTGGCTATATGAGGAGTAGTTGGTCATTAAACCCGTGTTTCGGATTACCCCTAATTCCTCGCGGGCGTCGCGCGGAGGGAGCCCGGATTAGTTAAAGATTAAGCTGTTGGACACGTTACTGCCCGTGGTTCGACCTCGAGGAAGCCTCTCCACTACGAAAGC